TTTTTATACATTTCAACAATGAAGAAGAAATGTTTAATGGGTTCTCATAGTCATGAAAACCCTGGACTTATATGAATGCCTGGAAAAATCAGGGAAATAAAAGCAAACCTAAAAAGTTATAGCAATTTCTATAGTGCATGTAATTGTTTCTAGTATTCAGTATTTCATTTGTTATTATTGCTTTTTTGTGAGTGCAGTATCTATAAAAGATTTTTTTGAACAATCGTCAAAAATAATTTCCAGCAGTCCAGTCATGGAGTTTCATTGGTCACAATTTTTGGGAACCCATGTATTTGTTTGCTTGTTTTTTATATTTTCTATATTTTCTTTTCTATGTTTCTAGTATGTTGGTTAGAATTGCTTTTTGTGAATGCAGTGTCTAAAATTATTTTAAAAAATTGAATTTTGAATAGTCAAATATTATTTCCAGCAATCCAAAATTGTGATTTCTTTCTTTCTTTTTCTTTCTTTCTTTCTTTCTTTCTTTCTTTCTTTCTTTCTTTAATTTATGGCATTTTATGTATTTATTTATTTATTTAGTGGAAAATGAACAACAAATAATTCCAGCAGTCCAGTCATGGAGTTTCATTGGTCACAATTTTTGGGAACCCATGTATTTGTTTGCTTGTTTTTTATATTTTCTATATTTTCTTTTCTATGTTTCTAGTATGTTGGTTAGAATTGCTTTTTGTGAATGCAGTGTCTAAAATTATTTAAAAAAATTGAATTTTGAATAGTCAAATATTATTTCCAGCAATCCAAAATTGTGATTTCTTTCTTTCTTTTTCTTTCTTTCTTTTTCTTTCTTTCTTTCTTTCTTTCTTTCTTTCTTTCTTTCTTTCTTTCTTTCTTTCTTTCTTTCTTTCTTTCTTTCTTTCTTTCTTTCTTTCTTTCTTTCTTTCTTTCTTTCTTTCTTTCTTTCTTTCTTTCATTTATGGCATTTTATGTATTTATTTATTTATTTAGTGGAAAATTAACAACAAATAATTCCAGCAATCCAGTCATGGAGTTTCATTGGTCACAAAGTTTGGGAAGCCAAGATTGTTTGGATTGATTGATTGATTGATTTGTTTATTTATTTATTATTTATTTATTTATTTATGCATTTAGCAGACGCTTTTATCCAAAGTGACTTACAGTGCATTCAGGCTATACATTTTTTATCAGTATAAGTATTTAGTGCATATGATTTTTTTCTAGTATATTGGTTAGAATTATTTTTTGTGAGTGCAGTGTCTATAAAATAATTTAAAAAAATTAATTTGTAAAGAATTGTCAAATAATTTCCAGCAATTAAAAAAATAATTTCCAGCAATCCAAGATTGTGCTCTATTTATTTAGTTATTTATTCATTTATAAATTTACTCACCCAACATGTAAGTTTTGTGAAAAATCATCAAAATAAATATGTTCCAGCAATTCAGTCATGGAGTTTCATTGGTCAAAAGGTTTGGGAACCCAAGACTGTTCCCTAGTTGTATGTGTAAGTAAATGAGTGTCATTGATCATGTGACTTTGTAGAGACTGCCAGATGTTCTTGATGCTCTTTGGATCACCTGAAATCATGCTGGAGAACATGATCATCAGGTTTAGTTCATATAGCTTCAGTGCTGGTGTCATTACAGCAGAAGAGACCAAATACTGACACATTTTCACATTCAGATTCACTTGTCACTCAAAATGGAGATCATCTTCACCAGCGCTCTCAGATGTTTGGAGCCGACTGTATAAGTGTGTGTGTGTGTGTGCCCGCATGTGCGAGCGCTGACACATGGCACATGCAGCTGTTGTCATGCATGTTATTTAGTAATAAAGTCAGGAGCTGAAACTGAACCCAGAGATTCATCCGCCCCCCTCAGATCAGTGAACAAACACACGACCAGCGCTCTCAGATGTTTGGAGCCGACTGTATAAGTGTGTGTGTGTGTGTGTGTGTGCCCGCATGTGCGAGCGCTGACACATGGCACATGCAGCTGTTGTCATGCATGTTATTTAGTAATAAAGTCAGGAGCTGAAACTGAACCCAGAGATTCATCCGCCCCCCTCAGATCAGTGAACAAACACACATGCATGAATGCACACACTCTCACTCTCATTGTTTGTTTATTTATCTTTTAATTCGAATGAAAAAAGGCAGAGTTATTAGCAGCGATAGCAAACACTGATCCACACAAACAGTGTGCAGCGTGTTTGTAATGGGTAGTTTGTGTTGAGGTTGGTGCTCATTAGCAGCGTGAAACGGCGATCAGGTGAAAGTGTTGAGAAGGTCAGTGACTCATCAGAATTTATGAGTGGTAATGATGCTCATCTGAGATTGACTTCAGGAGCCGTGATCTTTCTTTTTCTTTTACACGCTTTCCTGTTAGCCAGTCTTCATCTCTGCCTCTTTGAGGGGTTGTGTGAAGATTTTCACTTTATATTATTTGTTGGTCTCCTCCAGCTCATCAGAGAATGACGACCGCAGCGGCTCCAGTCTGGAGTGGGGTAAAGAGGGCAGCATAAGGAGCTGCGCTCAGCATGTGCGGCCAGACACGTGCTCTCCGGTGGCCGAGGAGGAAGCGTCAGCATCCGGGACAGGGGTACGGAGCATCTCTACTGCTAAGAAGACTTCAGGAGCCACAGGGTCTGAGGGACCCATCCAGTATCCCATGCAGAACTCGTCCAGTCTGATGATGCCTCGGCCGAACTCAGTGGCAGGTAAGAGCAATCAATGCATTTACCAGCAGAACACAAAGCATCAGGGTCATCCTGTGATTACTGAGGCAGTGACTGACGCTTGACCGCTGGAATGAAGCGGAGCAGAGACTCATGGGAAGACATCGCCACCACTTTAAGAGTGTGTGTATGTGAGATGTAGATTGTGACAGAGCTCATTATCAGGAGGCACATTCTTTCTCCTGTTGCTCCTTAAGGAAGCAGATACGAATATATATATATATATATGTATGTGTGTGTGTGTGTACTATTTATGTATATGTATGTATGATGATTCATTTGTTTGTTTGTTTTTTAATAATTATTTATTTTATTTTGACTGGCTGCCATGACAAGATATATCTATATACACAATTATATATTATTACAGTTGTTATTAATATTTTTATTTTTAAAATATTTTTAAAGTATGTCTATATAATTCTTATTAATTTTATTTCAGTTTTAGCTGTATTACTACATAAACTAAAGTTAAACTAGCTGAAATAAAAAAAATTATATTTGAACAAAAGGTTGCATAGTTTAATTTTATTGATTTATTGATTTACATATTTAAGTACATATAAAATATAACTATTATGAAATATTTTGAGGTTGTTGTTTTTTAATGTTAATAAGATCTATTAGGCACATTAGATGCACTGAAATAACTACAAAAATGAGAAATTCTATTGAATTTTATTTAAATGTTTGTTCATTATAGGCAGTATTAATTATATTTATGTGTTGTAGTAATAAGAATTTGAAGCCGATTTGTCATGAAAATAATGTCACAATTCTCACAAATTGAATGATCCTAAAAAATGCTATTATAAATTTTTAATCTATTATTATTTATATTATTATATAATTTATTTTGATGTGAAATATGACCTTGAAGTGTTGTTGATGGGTTTTATGATCGTGATTTTGAAGATTTGATTTTGTTTGGTGTTTGGATGAATATGAGGCTTGCATCTCTCTCAGAAGCTGATCGTTGTGATGGACGCTGATTTGAAGTCTGCAGAAGCTGTTGAGGTGTTTGTGAGAGAGATGAATGTGTGTCTGCTTCTGGATTATTGTGATGTGTGTAAGTTGTGCAAGGTAAAGTGCAGAAATGCTTCTCATAAAAAGCCATCAGTCATTAAACTAAGCGAGTTGACATGTAACTAGGGATGCACCAGTACTCGTACTCGTTAAAATGCCGCAATACCAAACGCCGATACCACACAGCATGCGATAAGTGCCGTATTCAGACAAAGAAACACCGACAACAGACAGCAGAATGGTTATTAGAGATTAAGGATGTCTACGAAGTATATGTATGCAATGAATATAATGATAAAATTCAATATTAACGCCTGTATAGCTGATGTGCGCGAACTGATAAACAAAGCACGCTGAGTGGATTGAGCGCGCGGCGGCGCACATGCGTAAGCTTGTCGAGTTAATATCCCTTTCTCACAGACATAACTGGAAAGTTTGTAGTTCGGTCGGATGTGTCAAAAACAAGTAAGTAAAACAATGCACAAGTTACTTAATGGTAGGGAGAAAGAGACAGAGACTCACTTAACACACGCATAATTTGGATTAAAACGAAACCGTAAAAATAGGACCATTTATAGGGGCATTCACTATAAACATCATTTATTTTCAACCTTAGGCATACACGACTTTCTGGCAAAAGTGAATCTAGCAGCCTGTGTGAAATGCACTAGACTGTACTATTCTGCATCAGTACAAATACGTGCACGCGTTGCGCAGGTTTTGCTTGCTTGAGTGTTTCTGCATTATATGAGTGACTTTGGAAAATAAATCGCAGCACGTTTCAGATGAAAAAAAAACCGCGACTTCTATATCTGAAAATATCACAGTTAGGAGATTTATAACGAGTGGTTCCCTGCATTATTACAGCAAAGCACGTGATTACAGTACTGAGCCGCTGCAATGGAGCAGCTCTAATGCTATTAAATGAGAGATGATGTACCATAGAGCAATGAACAGTGGAATACATTTTAATGGGCATAATTAAGTGTGAAAATAACTGAAGGGTATAAAGTGAATCTAGCAGCCTGTGTGAAATGCACTAGACTGTACTATTCTGCATCAGTACAAATACGTGCACGCGTTGCGCAGGTTTTGCTTGCTTGAGTGTTTCTGCATTATATGAGTGACTTTGGAAAATAAATCGCAGCACGTTTCAGATGAAAAAAAAACCGCGACTTCTATATCTGAAAATATCACAGTTAGGAGATTTATAACGAGTGGTTCCCTGCATTATTACAGCAAAGCACGTGATTACAGTACTGAGCCGCTGCAATGGAGCAGCTCTAATGCTATTAAATGAGAGATGATGTACCATAGAGCAAAAAATAAAAAAAAGTAAAATACATTTTAATGGGCATAATTAAGTGTGAAAATAACTGAAGGGTATACAGTCAAACCAAAAATTATACAGAGACCAGATAAAAAATTTTATATTTTTTTTTACTAGTGGGTGCAGGACACTATAGTCGCAGGTTTTGCTTGCTTGAGTGTTTCTGCATTATATGAGTGACTTTGGAAAATAAATCGCAGCACGTTTCAGATGAAAAAAAAACCGCGACTTCTATATCTGAAAATATCACAGTTAGGAGATTTATAACGAGTGGTTCCCTGCATTATTACAGCAAAGCACGTGATTACAGTACTGAGCCGCTGCAATGGAGCAGCTCTAATGCTATTAAATGAGAGATGATGTACCATAGAGCAAAAAATAAAAAAAAGTAAAATACATTTTAATGGGCATAATTAAGTGTGAAAATAACTGAAGGGTATACAGTCAAACCAAAAATTATACAGAGACCAGATTAAAAAAATTATATTTTTTTTTACTAGTGGGTGCAGGACACTATAGTTCATTTATGTAAGTGAGGATAGCAAAATAAAGTAAACTGTGACAAATTATGCCCAAAAATTATTCACACAGTGGACTACCGGTAAAACTGATACAAATTTGGGACCAAAAATTATTCAGACCGAGTCTGGGAATAAAAATGAAGTTCAGGTTGTCATGAAGCTGGATGACAGCATGCCCAGGAGACTACAGGCTGTCATTGAGGCTAAGGGCTGCCCGACTAAGTATTGATAGTTGTGTAAATACTGTCATACTAACAGCTGTGTTAGTTTTAATAAACTGTGATAATGTGAGAAAAGTTGAAGGTGTCTAAATAAAGTTTGGTTTGACTGTATATATTTGACAAATGAAGTTAACCAACTAACATTATACATACTCTTTTTGTTTCTGTACCCAATATTAAAAAAATGTACAACGGTAATCGGTACTCGGTATCGGCAAGTAAAAAAGATAAAAGTATCGATATCGGGCGAGTACTGGAAAAAGTGGTATCGGTGCATCCCTACATGAAACAATAAAAACCCGTTGGCACCATAAAACATGTGCGGTTGTCAAGGTTAAAGTATGTTTTCTTTAGTGTGTTTGTGTGTTTGTTCGCATTTTCATTTTGTACACCTGCTTGCTTTTACTCATTTCACACCCTGTTTGGCCTCGGTGAATAAAGCATTAATCTTTACTGAGCGTTTGATAGATCTGTAACTTTACTGCTGTCACAGCTGCTGATGTGGTGTTACCACACACACTCAAAATACAGCTACAGATGGGAACCAAGGAATTTTATGATTCTGGTTCCAATTTATATTCTACTTAATGATTCTAATATTGTAATATCTCCATTAATGATTCTTTTAGTAAAAAAATTAATAAATTTGGTTGCATAATTTATTTTAATTTAATTAATTTTTTATTATTATTAATTTTAAAGAAGCATTTATTTCTTTCATTTATGTTAAAAAGTAAGCTTTCCTCTAAAAAAACATTTTGGTTGCAGAGTTTTTATTTTATTTTAAGGTGCTATACGCTGTATTAACAAAAACATAAATGGCATAAATAAAAACACTTACACTGACAAGCTACGCAATATCGTGTTCATAATCGAATGTGACTCATCTGCGATTATGAACGCGATATTGCAGTGATCTACGGCTCTGTGTAGTAAATGCCGCTCCATCTGAAAGCACGTGATGGAGATTTACTATTAATCACAGAACCGACTTTACTGACGAGATGCACATGACAATCGCATGCGATTTATCGTGCAGCCCTAAGTTTGTCTGTTGATCACAAAGTACAAATTAGATGAAAACTAGGATGCCGGATGTATTCAAAGCGCCGCCAATACTGTTTAGAGTGCGTGGAATGGTGCGCTGTGATTGGTTGAGCGGATATATCGCATTCTGCAGAGAAGGGAGACTGGCGTTTGTCACGGTTTGGAAAAAAAGGGAGAAAACATGACAGAATAACTCGGCGGATATCGATTTTGCGTCAAATTAAAAATTGACTTTTCAATACCGACCAGATACAATGCTAATGCAGACTCAAAACTCATCTGTTTAGCTGTGCATTTATTGAATGAGCACTGTGCGATGTCCGAACTGATTGCACTATATTATATGTATAATCGTTTTCTTAAATTCATTTTAAACCTCTTAAATAAATTTTTTTTTTAATAATTTTCAAAGTTTTTAAATTCCTTGTTTTATTGTTGTGATTATTGTTTTTATTTTATTTTATGTAAAGCACTTTGAATTACCATTGTGTATGAAATGTGCTATACAAATAAACTTGCCTTGCCTTGCCTTGCCTTGATTTTGGCGGAAACTCAAATTTTTTTTTAAATGGCGTTTATTGCGTTTTGAAACCAAACTCTTCATATCTTGGTCCATTTTAATCACGTTACTTGTCCTTTTTGGAGTTTGACAGCATCCAGTTTGGAACGACACTATCCATTTTTGTGATCTGTTTCTTTAATTGTTGTGGAGTAAATGGTGCTGTCAGTAAAGATGCTGCCGCTTTAGTCTTTAGAGTCTGTCTGGGATTCTCGACCTCAGTGAATAATCATTCCATTTAATTTCTGAGACTGAACTTCATTTGTGTCCAGGCAACC